ATATTTTAGGAAAGACAACACCTATTTAGGACAAATAACTAGCTCAATTTACTTCTTTAATCTCCTCAAATTAGTCAACTGGCTCTTATAATTAGGACCGGAGGTAGTATCCTTGATTTCCAATTGCATATGTTTGATCCTAATTGCATATGTTTGATCCTAATTGCATATTAAGGATACTTAGTTACATATATAATCTAATTGCATATCGTTGATCTTAATTGTATATTTTTGATCTTTAGTTACATATACTTGATCCTAATTACATTTTATTAAGAGTATTGTGATCATTTTTTTCCCGTTTTTAATTCCCCAAAAGAAACTCAAAAGTTCAAGTCATATTCTACAATTAACTTTTTAAATGAGGATTTCCCCCAACTTTCCCCTAAAATTAACTAGCTTATGTGTCAAGGACGCGAGTCGTTTGTATTGATATGAGGGTGTTATTGTAATTAAAATATTTGCCTTTTCTTTCCTCCTCTTTTCGCGTCCATCCAAACAACCGAGTTCCCTTTGTTACTCCCTTCTCTCCCCTTTCATTCTTTTCTCCCAATTTTTCGAAGTTTTTGTATTTTGGTCAACGGGGTCATCAGAGTTATCTTTCCCTGATTGCAAAAATTCCCTTGCCCTAATCGAATTCGATTCTCTCACAGACTCACAACTCTCTCTCAGAAATCAGATTCAGAGTTCACGGCATCACGATTCAGTCAAGCACGCGGCTTCCTTCTCTTCTTCTTCTTCGTCCCTTTCCAGCAGCTCTCTCCTCCCGTCCTCGTCGTTCCTTTTTCATCTCAGGTTCAGAGTCAACGTTCTGCGCCGTCGTTCCGGCTCTCTCGCTCGTCGTTCTGGGCCACCGCCGTTGCTTCTCCTCCTTTCCCACTCTGAATCTGCCTCGCCCTTTCCAGGTGCATTTCCTTGTGCTATAATTTTTTTCTTTCTTTGTTTTTTTTTTTTTCCCGATTTTCTCTGAAAATTGACTTCTTCTTGTTTTTTTTTTTTTTTGCTTCTTCTTGCTTTTGCCTTTCTCGGCTGCTCCCTCTCACTCATCTAGTGATCCTCTCATGCTTCTACGAAACTGAAGTGTGAAATCTAAAGGTGAAGCTCGCTTGCTCTCTGGTTCTTGTTCCCTTCCAGTCATCTCATCTCCTCGGCTTATTGTATCAGGATTTAGGTAAGACATTGATTGTTGATATGATTATGCTACTGGTCTGTTTTCTGCTCATTCAAATTGCCTTCTCTCTAGTTCGCATATCCCAACGCTGATATAATAATTCCCTGAAATAGACTTGAATATACGAGCTCCAAAATCCGTATTTTAAATTAGTTGTGGTTGTTTATACTATCCATCTGTAACTTTTGATCTTAACTCCTCATTGAGTTGCTGATAGTTTGTGCAAACAAGCACGGCTAATTTTGAATACTTTACTAGGTGATTTGTTTCGGGGCTCGCATATTCATGTCTATATAACAGTCCATATAGAGATTTTTCTTTTGAAAAAATATAAATTGTCTATTTCCCTTGTTTGTTTGAGTTCCTCATCTATTGCAAATTTTAGCATTATATTCAGCCTTTATGAATTAAATGAGAATGACTACAATGAAGGTATCATAATTATGGCGGTTAATAATATTACATATAGTCACTGCTGCCGCAGTCACTGACAAAGTTTAACTTTTGATGGGGGTGACCTCTGGCTCCAATATCAACCAGCAATCGTCTTCTAAAATGCTACCTCCACGCCAGCAATCTCGTGTTGGAGGACTGCAAACTTCACTCTCCCTAGTTTCTTCAGATCCTCGTCTCTCTCCTGAGGAACCTCGATCAAACTCTGACAATATTCGAGAATCTCCTACTGAAAGTGCTAGTTCACGAGAAACCTGGCCCACTGCTGAAGCTATTGCTGCAAAAAAAATGGCAAATGGGAAGGCTGAGGATGATTGCCCTGAGCTGTCAGTCATTCGTCGTGTTTCTAGTGCTGACAAAATCACCCTTCAGGACATAGGAAGAGAAAGGGTTGACATAATATCTGAAAAGATGCATCGTCTACCTGATGAATTTTTAGAAGAGCTGAAGAACAGCCTACGAGTGATCCTTGAGGGAGGGAATGGTTCACAGCACAGGGAGGAATTCTTCACTTTGCAGAGGCTTGTTCAAAGTCGAACTGATTTAACGGCCAAGACATTGATCAGAGCACATCGTGTGCAGCTTGAAATCCTCGTTGCTATTAATACTGGAATTCAGGCATTTTTGCATCCCAACATCAGTCTTTCACAACCTTCCCTCATTGAGATCTTTGTGTACAAGAGATGCAGAAATATAGCTTGTCAGAACCAGCTTCCTGCTGATGACTGTACCTGTGAAATATGCACCAGCAGGAATGGTTTCTGCAATCTCTGCATGTGTGTAATCTGCAACAAGTTTGACTTTGAAGTAAATACGTGCCGCTGGATTGGGTGTGATTTATGCTCCCACTGGACTCATACAGATTGTGCCATTCGTGATCAACTTATTTGCATGGGCCCTTCTGCAAAGAGTGGTGCAGGACCAAGCGAAATGGTTTTCAGGTGCCAAGCATGCAAGAGGACTTCAGAGCTGTTGGGTTGGGTTAAAGATGTTTTTCAGCATTGTGCGCCATCATGGGATGGGGAGGCTTTAATGAGGGAACTTGATTTTGTTAGTAGGATCTTTCATGGTAGTAAAGACCCCAGAGGGTGGAAACTGTTTTGGAAGTGTGATGAGCTAAAGGAGAAAATGAAAAGTGGAATGGTGGAACCAAATGCTGCATGCAGTGCAATATTGATGTTTTTCCAGGGTAAGAATGATTCCTTTTTTTCTTTGGACTGTTGAATCATGCAATTTCTGCCTTAGTATAGACCTTGCTTGGTTTTATACGTAGTAAAAGAATACATTTTTATGCTTGACATCCCCCCCCAAAAAAAAAAAAAGTATTGTGTTTGATAATGCCAGGCATGTTCATTCTGATACCAGAAACAAGTATTTACAATACATAAAAGCTAGATATTATGAAAGGGTGTAGTGATTTTAGCTTGAAGCGTGATATCTTTTATAATGATTGTACATGTGAACATATACAATGATGTAGTGTGATTCATATAGCTGACCCCACCTAGTGGGATAAGGCTTATTGTTTTTGTTGTTGTACATGTAAACATGTACGAAGAAGCGGCTAGCAAGAGATATGATTTAACAAATCTATAAATCTATAAATAAGTAAACAAATAAATGAAGGCATTAATTCTTTGTTCATTAATTAATTGATACATTGGAATTTTGTCTTTTAATTTGGCCGGGGGCTTTTCCCAAGCATTTACTTTTCCCCATGTTCTAACTGATGATTTTCCTTAATGAAGAGCTTGAGGTGGACTCCCCAAAGAGCCTTGAAAATGGAGAAAGTGGAAGGATGATTGCTCCACAGGACGCATGCAATAGAATTGCTGAAGTAGTGCAGGAGGCTATAAGAAAAATGGAAATGGTAGCTGATGAGAAGATGAGAATGTTCAAGAAGGCTCGCTTGGCTCTTGATGCTTGTGATCAAGAATTGGCAGATAAGGCGAGGGAAGCAGCAGAACTCAAGATGGACAGGCAAAAAAAGAAATCACAGATAGAAGAACTGGAGAGAATTGTAAGGCTTAAAACTGCAGAGGCTGATATGTTCCAGCTTAAGGCTAATGAGGCTAAACGAGAGGCTGAGAAGCTTCAGAGAATTGCTCTTGCCAAATCGGATAAATCAGAGGAAGAATATACTAGCAACTACTTGAAACAACGATTAAGTGAGGCTGAAGCTGAGAAGCAATATCTCTATGAGAAGATCAAACTGCAGGAGAGTTCTCGTGCTTCGCAGAGTAGTGGTGGTGACCCATCTCAGATTCTGATGTATTCCAAGATCCATGATCTGCTTTTACCTCCTAAGGCAGATAGTCAGCCTAACGAGCGTCACCCATTCCGAACAAATCCATGATTATTTGTTCTGTTTGTGTTTTACTCTTTTGCCATATTCAAGAATATCTTCTGTTGAACCATTAGTCAAGAGTCAATCAAATCCCTATTAATCTTCGTTTGTATTGAGAAGATCTTAGTGGATGCTTAAAGCAGTTGAATCTAGGCTTGTTCTGTCCAGTATTATGTGTAGTCTTGCTTTTGTAGCAGTAGTATTTTGTTCTTCTTTTGAATTAGAAAGGAAGACGAACTGACCCTGTGGGGAATAGAACCGTCTACCTCCCCCGTGCAACGGGCTGCTTTGCCGCTAGGGCAATACACCTAATGGGAAAGTAGTTTTTTCTGTAGTGACTCTCTCTGCGAGTGCTATAGTTTTGAGGTTGTGGTAGACTACAGTGTTGTTTTATGCCATATATTTGAGTTGCATCATTGGGCTCAAGGCCAGATACATTTGCTGATAGAGTCGTTTATCCTATATTTTTTATCAAGGGCTACCTCAACAATTGATTGTAAAATGATATAGGGCCGTTGGGCCAGAATTCATATGGGCTGGGCTGATTAGGGGTTGGCCATGAGGTCTGGGCCACCCTGTTTTTATTTTATTTTTTAATAATAAATAAATAAATTTTCTTAAAAACCAATAAGTTTCATGTAGCTTTTTATATATTATAACTCACGCATCTATTATCTCATAATGAGTTTGAATTTATAATCTCACTTAAGAAAGACCTAATACAGAAGCTTGGTCATTGGTGATTTGGTGGGCAAGACCCACAACCATTAAATTTCATGCTTTAAGGTTGTGGTGTAATTTTATGATCTGAATTTGAAGTTCTTTGAAAAATAAAGTTTATATATTTAATGCAATCATGGTTTTTTATTCTTTAATTTTATAATATTTATATTGTGTTGTATTAGTTTATCCTTATAACTTGTTAGTGTAAGTTGCTTTGTTATTATTAAAACTTTTTAATAATTATATTTCTTACTTAAAATTTTATAATAATTTTACCAATAATTTTACGGGCTTGGTCCCAGTCCAGTCTCTATGGAGACATTTGATAAAGTTGGAACGATAAAAGATTAGTTTAGTTCTTGTGCAAGGATGACACGCACAAATTGAGGAATTTTGTCTCTTCAAATCGGTTCTTGCTTCTTATGCAAGTCTGCGTCCTTTCATGGGTGTTTTGACTATTTTCTTTTATCATTAGTTCGCAGATTCTGTGCAGATCTCATAAATCTGGTTACGATTCACGAGACGAAAGTGGAAAAAAAGCGCCAATTTAATTATTTAAAAAAAAAAACAGTATTGGCGCCATTACAAGGTGCTAATAATGCCCCGTGGCCAATACTGTTCACAGAGGGTAGGGACAGTGATGTTATTTAGGAAGAACTAAAATGAAATCTTAGGGGAAAAAATAATTATTATCTCCTGTTTTAATTATAAATTTTATTTATAAACTACAAATAAGGTCTTATAATTAGGACTGGAAGTAGTATAAAATAAGTTCTCAAATTTTTCTTTTTCTATTCTGAAATCTTGTCATTACAGGCTGTTTAAATTATTATTGAAACTTTTTAATAATTTTTTTTAAGACTTTATTATAATTCACCCTAATATTTATAATTTGTTAATTAGAGCATAAATTAAACGTTGTGCCGCATTTTTCAAGAGTTAGTAGTCGGCTATTTCCTGTGTTGGTGCGTGGCAAAGACGGCAAAGTGTTTCATGAGTATACTTAATTTATGGGAAAATTACTTAATTTATGAGTCTCATTGACTTTGAATTTTTATTGGACAGGTCATACGCACAAAAACACTTACCACTGTGGTAACTAATATAAATCATTTATAACACATTTTTTCATATTGAAAAATAGATTAAATTGAGAAAAATTTTCAATTTTACCTTTATTAATGTTCTTTCTCTATGTTTATAAATTATTCTTATACCTCTTCCATCTTTTTCTCTTTCTAATGAGAATTAAATAAGAATAAGATTAAAAAAATAAACCCTAAATATACTAGTAGTTATTTACATTTAGGATTAAAAAAATTTTTCCTATAAGTGATTTATATTTAGAATCGGAATGGTATTGATCTTCTTCTAAAAAGAATAGTTTCACCTTGGATTTTGGAATGTTGTTATCAAGCAAATTAATCATTTACACCCTCTGTCCCTTATTATAAAAGAAAACAGCTATCAAAATCATGCGATTCAAAATATTAGTTAAATTTAGTCAAAAATAATAAATGTGTAACATGATTTTTTTAATTATACCTTCCACCCCTAATTGTACTCTTATTTGTAAAGAGAGTACAATTAATTTAATAAATAGATACTACCTCCGGTCCTAATTATAAGACCCAGTTGACTTATTTGAGGAAATTAAGGAAGTAAGTTAGGTTAGTTATTTGTAATAAATAAGTGTTGTCATTCCTAAAATATCCTTGCTAATCAAATGTATTGACTAGAACTATCATTATTAGAAGGACTATCTTGGAAAAAAAAGCATAAATATGAGAGAAAAAATGGATTTGAGTCTTATAATTAGAACCAAACAAAAAGTCAAATGGGGTCTTATATTAAGGACCGGAGGTAGTATTTATTATCAAAAAATAATGAATAATATTTTTAATAATGATAAAGGTGAAAAGATTAATCTAAAATTTATTTTTTAATATTTAAAGATATTACTATGAGAGAAATTATTTTTTATAAAAGGACATGGAGGCAGTATAATTATGTCATATCAATATTCACCACAAACATAAAACATAACCTTATCTCCTTGATGCTGAATTAAGATGTAAAGTGTCTACTTTTGCCCGTGAAATCAATGTAGAAGTCAATCAAAAGAACCTTTTCAACAGTCTTTAACTTGTCTTTTGTATTAATTTATAATTCCTAAAATTTACAATTGACTCAAGTGTTTTATTAAATCATTTTTCAGTAATTCTTGGATCACAGAGCTTCAATATGGCTGCTAGCCGTTGGAGTTTGGACCACTGGTGATAGTGGGATTTTTTAAATAAAAAAAAACTATGGTCATTTACTGATAAATTTCGGGGTTGTTACATGTCATTGTCCCTTTTTTTTTTAATTATTTGAACTTGACATTTTTTTGGTATTTTTTTAGTGAAACTAAAGCCGTCATCAAACAGCCCCCTCTTGGGATACAAAGAAATTTGACATGTTTTGTCGTATATGACATGAAATGTTAAAAATAAATCATATTATTTTTTATTGATAAATATATTTTTAATGCTATTTATAAATTATGAGTAGTGCCATTTGTATAGATTACTTTTTTTTATTGAAATATAATCGTAAAAATCATTAAGAATTGAGTTTTCAAAAATATAAAAGAAAAAGAAAAACTTTCTTGTAAAATAAGACAAAATGTGTCTATATTCAACATTAAAATAAAATAAAAACTGAGCTTTTTAACACAGAAGTCAGACCGAAATGGTAAATGTGTGTGTGTTTAAATATATACATATGTGTGTGTGTGTGTGTATTCAAGAAATTAAGCTGATCACAAGTTGTTATAGTTTGAAACCTGCATCATTCACATTTGACGTGTCAAACAATGGCTGATATAGGAAAATAAACAGCCATATATTAGTTGCACACTTGGACTAATTTATTTAACAAGTATATATACAACTTCAATACTCCTCTGGTCCTTAATATAAGACCAATTTAACTAATTTGATTAGATTAAGGAAGTTAGGTAAGTTAGTTAATTATAAGAAAAGTGACACATTTTTCCCAAAATACCATAATCATCTTTTTTAATACCCCCTCTCCCTCTTCTACTGATTATGGGTGAGAGAGTTTCTATAGGGGTAATTTAGAGAAAATTAATAAATATGAGAAATGGGTCTTATATTTAGGATCAAAACCAACTTAAGAATTGAGTCCTATATTAAGGACCGGAGGAGTATTATATTAATATCATATGGATTGCTAATTCCTTCTTCTAACCACCAAATTTATGAATTAAATTAAATATTCTAAATTTGGTCTAACTTTGATGGTTCTAGAAGCAGGGATTTATATTCAAATTGCAGCAAGGTTTCTCATGCATTCTCAATATTGACATAAAGTAGGCCTACTTTATATTAAGACACAAATTAGGAGACCAACTTGGCCTCTCTTTGGTTCTTCTGAATAAAACAGATTTGCCATGAAGCCATATAAAGGCTAAAGCTAATTCCTAGGAGCGATATGCTCATTCCATATGTTAACTACCAAAAAATTCAAATAAGTTAGGTTGATACTTTATTTAATCATGTGCATTTGAACTATTATTTGGTAAAAAAATTTTAATAAGAATATTAAAAAAAAAGACTGTAAATATGAAAGATAAAATAGACTAAAGTATTATATTTAGAACCAAATTCAATCTCTCAATTAGCTTTTATATTAAAGACTGAAGGTAGTAGTATGAGCATTGACTTCCTTAAAAACATGATCAAGAGTGATTGTTCATTTCTAGCTACTTAACTACTTTTGATAAATTAACAAATTCAAATAAATTAATTAATCATAACAGACGTGACATGATTTTCGTAAAATATCTTAGTTTAACATGGGATTATATATTAGTTTATAAGTTAGGTAGATTAATTAAAAAATAATAAATACAAAAAATAATATAGATTGAGATTATATATTTAGGCTGTGTTTGGGTGACACCCCAAACTATAGTTTGGGGAATAAATCACCCAAACACCCACCCAAAAACCAAAACCATGGTTTTGGAAAAAGCAAAAAAAATTTTGCTTTTGGAGAAAAAAAGGAGAGTGTGAGAGCCTATAGGATATGTATCTTGTTATTTTTTTTATAAACATATTTTTTTATAAACATATTTAATCTTATATTTTATAAATATATATACATATTAATTATTTATTAATTATATTATCTTATGTATTATTAATTATGTTAATAAAAAATATATTATTAACAATTTTATTCCTTCAAATTAAAATATATCATAAAATCTATTTTTTCTGTAATTATCATATTAACTTATGTCTTTTTTTTTAGTAATTTGTATATATAAAAAGTGCTTCTGATAATAACTATCCAAACACTCTCATTTCTCAAAATCACTTTTTCATAAAATCTATTCTTTCCAAAATCTATTCTTCCCAGAATTTATTCTCTAGAATCACTTTTCTAAACTACGGTTTGGTTTCATCCAAACACACCTTTAGAAACAAATCTAACATCAAACTAGTTTTTATAGTAGGAGCAACAAGGAGTAAAAAGCTGTGCTTGGCATCACATTGAGAAAGAAAAAAGTCACCTTAAGAAACAAGAAGCTCATTGAAGCCTCAAAATAATGTTTGGATTACCTTTTGAGCAAAATGACTTTTAGACCAAAAGTCATGGTAAAATTGGAAGAATTTTTTGTTGACTTCTAGTTGTTTTTGGCCTCTTTTTTTTTTGTTGAAGAATTGAACTTTCTGGAATTAATTTTTTATATTATAAAAGTATATCCAAAAATAAATTATCTTACACTAATTTATATTATCTCAACTTCAATTTGTAAAAGTTACTTTTACAAACATAAATTCAAACAAGCTCATATGAACTTTCATGTCACCGAGAGTATTACTATTAATCACATAGCCGTTGGGTGAATGCTTCTAATCAATTAAAGACAAAACCTGCAATCCATCCTTATATGGGTCCTGTACCCTCAAATGTTGTCTTTTAAAATCCATCCTTGTTCCTTACATGGCTCTGTATCCTTTATTTTCTTTATCTCATAAATTGGGAGAATCTCTAAAGCTGATTTCTGAATCTGGTTCAGTAGAGAGAAAAAAAGAAAAAGCTATTAAAACAAGAATTGTCGCCATTAGAGTACTGTGCTGATGCTCTCTCTGGTCAGTGCGAAGGTCATTATCATTTATGATCACCAAACTTTCAAATTCAACATCAAAGCCTCTGAACATCGAGCTCTAGCTTCCTCCTGCTGGACAGCTTCCATTCACACAATAGACAGTACAGACAAAGTATTTATTTTTTGTTTTTTGGTTTGAAAATGGTTAATCTTAAACACGAGGAACATGTCCTCCATATCATATATATATATATATATATATATATATATTTCTTGTTTAGAATCCATACTATATATTTTAATTAATGTTGTCATGTTTTCGTGAGTTGACTCATGGCTCTATATAAATAATAGATTTACCTTTCTCAGTTGGTGTGTGAAGAGTGTGAAGAATGGAGGGCTTGCTGAAGCAGTGGAAGGAGGAGGCAGAAGCAGAAGCAGAGGTTGAAGAAGAAGTGGGCTTAGTCAGACGACAAGCTCACGAGCAAGTCACCACCTTTACTGGTTCAGATATTCATATCCAAGGTGCGCTACATTCAATGTCTATGGATTTAATAAATAAATATCCATTTTTTTGGAACATATAAATATATCTTCTTCTTTTTTTTTTTACAAGGTTGAATGTAAGATAAAATTTGTCTTCCAAAATTCGTTTTTTCTTGCCATGCAACGATCAACATGCTTTCTTTTTTGTTTTTTTTCACCCAGTTTTATCTTCAGTATTTAGTAGTCCTGAGTCCAATAGTAAAATTTTCTTCTTCTTCTTCTTAGCTTTTAAGTTTTAACTGAGAAGGTTTGTGAAGAACCCTACAAAACAAATAAAATCACATTGAGAGCTCTAGCAAGCTAATAAATTTGCCCGTTCATTGGCTTCCCTTACAAATATTCATCTTTCTAAAACTTTTTCGACCTTACGCTTTTTCCAGTTGCATACTTTGTTTTTCCTATTTGTTCTCCTCCTGCAGAAACATCACAAGCAGAAATTCAAAGAGTTTATCTGCAACACATTTGGTTTATGCTCTTTGTTAAGATGATTAACAAGTTGGCTTTTATGAAATTCAAAAAGGAGTTTCTGTTTTGCTTTTTATGGTTCAAGGAACATCAGATTTCGGAGGACTTCTCATAGTTCCTTATTCAATAAAATTCATACAATACAGGGCAAGAGATTTCTGAAACAAAGGACGATTCCGGTGGCATTGAGAAGAAGGACACGACTTCACCTTCCTCTGATCCTATTATTCCTGGGGATTCAACTCCTCCCAAGAATGTGACCATTCAAACTGAAAAAAGTGGGTTCCTCTTTTATTTTTCTACTTACAAAAATGAATTTCTGTTTTGCCTTTATGGTTCGAGGACCAATCAGATTTAGGAGGACTCTTTACAGTTCTTTATATTTAATAAAGGTCATGTAATGCAGGGCAAGAAATTTCTGAAACCAAGGACGGTTCCAGTTTCAGTGACATTGAGAAGAAAAACATAACTTTACCCTCCTCTGATCCTATTATTTACAGGGATGCAACTCTTCCCAAGAATGTGGCAGTTGAAAGTGAAAGAGTTGGCGTAATAACAGAGAATATTCAATTAGCCAAAGAACTATATCTGGAAAGTCTATATCTGAAGCCACCCACACAAGGATTCTATTGTCCTAATTGTCGGGCTTGCATCCAGAAAGTTTTGATTTTGGATCCAGTAAGGGAAGAACCTGATACTCCTGCACAATCTCATCCACAATTTGAAAGATTCAGATGCTCAACATGCTTCAGTTTTCTCATCCCAATAGGTGAAATATTCAACATAACTGGTGCATTGCACAGAATATAAGCACCTTGTTATGGGATTTTATATTTACTTACATTGATATGAGCATAAGTTGAAAAAAAAAAAATTCTTCTACATTTTTGGACAGGTAGTTGGGTCCTTCCTTGGTTGGTGCGTGACAAAGAAGGTAAGCTGTTTTATGAGTCTGTTTTTAATATATTGGACTGCTTATACATACAACAGAACACTTGTTTGGCTTCTTGAATGAGCTTAACATCTCTATACTGTTTCTGGGGCACCCTAGGATTTTGGGATGTTATCATTAAGGATATTAACCATTTAACAGAAGTTTAATAGCTGATAGTTAATCTCCTTGACGCTGACCTAAGATGTCTTCATTTACCCTTGCCAGTGAAATCAATGTACAAGTGCTAAAGTTAGTTTGGAGAACCTTTCCGACTCAACTTTTGGCTTTTGGATCAATCTTGATTCCTAAAATCTAAAATCAATCCAAGTGCTTTATTAAGATAATCCAAATATTGACCTACCTAAATTTTAGACATTCTCTTATTTTGCACTGCTACCTCTTTCCTCTCCTATTTTTCCTTCACCTATATATTGAGGTCAAATATTATGTCCATTGCTGGCTGTGACAATGGGGAAAAGGATACACTGTCTTTTTATTCCATTTTATTTTCTGGGTTATCTTAAAATCATTAGCTGTGGATTCCTATTGCTTATCATAAAATGGAAGAGCTTATTGAATCTTAGGAATATATCTAATAAAGGCAATTATTGTTTAGAAGAGTAAGCTCATCACACTTCATGCATTGTTGTCTTCAATATTCTATTATTTTTCCAACAGAAGTAACTGAAGATGCACCAAAAACTAAGGTTCCACCCCCAGAAGAAGTTCCCCCTCATTCAGGAAGTCAAATGTTGCAACCTGAACCAATAATCACTGATGGTGCACATAAAACTCAAGGTAAGCGTAGTCCTTTCTTTGTTTAATTGTTTTGGATATCTCAAACGGTTAATCAAGTTCACCAAAAAGACCATACTAAGTACCATATGGTACATTTATATGCAATGACTTTATGGGGTTTGAAGTAGAGAGAAAACCGAGAAGAGAAGAAGGCTTCATCTTTGTACATACACTCCGCTCATGTCAAACTATAAAGACTAATCATAGCCATTCTATGTGTCACTTAAGAATTTTTCATTCAATGTGATGTGAGAATAATTATAGCTTAGTAAATCATGAACTTATAGGAATTAATAAACATTTTCTTTTTCTCCTTCCTAACTTCTACTCTCTTGAGCTTTTTCAAAATTATATACGAGACAATCACAAGTCCTTCATCAGTCATCAACTATTTTTTCACATAATCTGCATATCTGGGAAATAATCTCTAAAATATCTCAAATTTCCAGAAGATGAACAAGGCCCAGATGGATCTAGAACCAAACCTTCACGTTGGGGAGTTTTGGCTAGTGCTTCAGCCATTGCTGTACAGAAAAAACCTGAAGTTGATATTTCAAAAATTCCAGAACGGCGACCAGCCGAGAATGGGGTAGATGGAGCAAGCACAGGTATACAGAATAGTACTTTTGGCATTATGGCATATTCAAATGTTTAAGTCTTCTTATTCATGAAAATAATTTCTCATTTAACAGACAATACTGAAGATAAAAAAATGAAAGTGATCTAAAAATGTTCTGAAGCCTAAATCATGGACTTAGTGAGAGTAAATGAGATAGGAGAGATCTGGAAATAAGAAAACATGGGTTCAACGAGTGTAATAGCAGATAGCCTGACCGTATTTTTACTCTGTTGAGTTTTTATCAAAATTATATACTGTATAGCGGTATCACAAGTCTTTTACCAGTCATAGACTATTTTTCACATGATCTGCCTATTTTTGAAGTAATCTCTAAAGCAGCGTCAAATTGCCAGATCTATCACATCAAATTATTGATGTCCCAGAAGGTGAACAAGGCCCAGATGGATCTAGAGCCAAACCTTCACAGTGGGGACTTTTGGCTAGTGCTTCAGCGATTGCTATACCAAAAAAACCTCAAGTAGATATTTCAAAAATTCCAGAACAACAAAAACCAATTGACGAGGCTGCAGATGTCGGGGTAAGCACAGGTATGAATAAAAACATTGCTGCCATCATGATATTTTCAAACACTTAAAGATTTCATGTTCATGATAATAGTTCTTAATTCAACAGAACACTAAGGATAAAAAAATGAAAGTGATTTAAAAATGTGCTTAAGCCTAAATCATGGACTTCACATATTTTGAATGAGATAGAAGGGATCTTGGAAAACGAAAACACGGTACAATGAATTTAATAGAAGATAAAGCGCACATATTTTAAGGGCATTTAACTTGCAACAGTTAGGAGTCATACTTTCTGAGTACAACCAAAAACCATTTTTCCACCTTTTTGTACATTGCCCAACACATGAAATGTGGTCCTTCTTCAGTGTATCCCTCAGACCCTAGCATGTCCCTCTAGTTAAAATGGTTTCTGAGTAAACTAGATTGTAGGGCTCATACTTTACATAGAGTCTAAGGAAGCTACATTATTATGGCTTCTGTTGCTTCTAGTGGATGCTTCTGTTAACAATCTATCAGTACTCAATGATTTTGACCTTCTTTACAATTCAATCCTAAAAATCATGTCTTATGTTCATTATTTTGCATCTTAGAAATTCTGGCACTGTGATATATTGCAATGAAGTGATGAGGCGTATTCATTGAACAGAGCCCCTAGGAAGTACAACATCGGCTTCTACAACTACAGCAGGTGCAGTTCAAGAACCAGGAAGCGGAAAGACATGGGATATTCCGAAAAGCATAGTGTACGGTGGTCTGATTGAATCTATTGCAAGCCTTAGCATTGTGGCATCTTCAGCAAGTGCAGATGCTACAACATGTAAGACTTAAATCTTTCTTCATTTCTTTGTTCTCCCTTTCTTTTGCTTCTGAAATTATTTTTAATAAGACTATTGGATTAGTATTCTGTTTGAAATAATCCAAATATCCCTGAAGGGGTGTCAAAGGGTCTTAATTTTGATTCTTAATCTGTCTTGTTGTAACAAATCTAACTCTAAAATATTTTTTCGGCTTTAAATAAGTCATGAAATTTGATCACTAAAGATTTTATTGTATCAGCATGCATATTACCGAAAGGAACTACTGCATATCATCATTAAGCCTGCAAAGTTACTTTTTTTGGTTAAATCAGTATCATGGCCACTTGGCCACATAATCTCATTAAATTAGTGCCTTTAGCTTTTAATTTGTACCATATCTCTATTCTTGTAGGTTATGATATGCTAAATTAGTGTCATTTAAACGGAATGGTATGTTAGAGCATATATAAGAATATAAAATTAAAAAATTAGTTTAGCACGAAACAAAATTGGGGCACTAGAGTGAAACAATTCATAAATTTGAGGGATCAAAATGAAAATTTAAGCATAAATAACCAGTTCACCAGTTAGATAGCATAGTTAAAAATTGTCAGAGGTTTTAATGAACATACAACAAAGTAATAGGTATTATTAGAGTCATATTTGCATATTACTTTGATCTAACGATATTCTTCTATCCACCAAATTTATTGGCAGTGAGCATTCTGGCTCTATCTCTTGCAAACCTGATCGGAGGACTTTTCATCCTTGTTCATCATGTGAGTTTATTTCAAAACCCACATTTACTTTGAAATTATCAATATTACTCAATATGTCAAGATTTGATATAAAATATAAAGCCATGATAGTTCAGTTCACACTTCATGTGCTGCAAAAAAAAAAAAAAAAAGCTTGCTGCCATTGAAACTTACACATGGATTTACAGATGTGGGACCTGAAATCGGAGCAACAAGGCACAAATGAACTTGTGGATCGATACTATCTTTCTCTAGGGAAGAGGGAGAATTTCTATCTTCATGTGTTCATAGCCACACTATCATTCATCATATTTGGGATAGTGCCACCATTAGTGTATGGCTTGACCTTCTATGAGATCAACAATAAGGATCTGACCCTTGTGGCTGTTGCCGGAGCTTCTGTAATATGCATCACTCTACTGTCCATTGCAAAAACTTACATTCAGAGGCCAAATAGTTATCTCACATATCTCAAAACAGTGATTTACTATCTCAGCACTGGAGCTCTGAGTTCTGTACTTTCTTACTTGGCTGGTGTTCTTATAAGGAAACTTCTGGAGAAGCTTGGATTTGGCTCAGAAAGCTCACTCGGTTTTACCTTGACGCTGCCTGAGATGAGTATAACTGAGAAGCCTAGATTTGGATCCTACTGACAAGCATGGATACTTCATGGAATAGAGATTGATTGTAACTTGAAGCAATGAGGGAGCTTAGGTTTTAATTAGGGATTTAATTCTTTTAGGCTAAGATTTAATTCTACATAGGAGTTGGGCAAATTAGGATTGGTAGTCTTTGATTGTTGAATATTATTGAATTAGCAATTGAGCCTTGTGAATTTTGTTCCCTTCTCTTTCATTTTCTCTTTATGCTCTCTGGTTTTACATCAGAGTGGCATCAACTTTTTTTTTTGGGCTAAGCACAGGTTTTTTTTTTATTAGAGACAATTCTATTTGAAGTACTATTAAGTACTAAACGTGGGCACATTCTTAATAAAAATTTAAACTTTAATTTATCATATTGTTAGAGACTAACCTTTTTTATTAAACTTAGTCTTAAGCCTACCCGTCGAATAGTTAGGTGTTGATTTTTATTTCTATGCTCAAACCCAACCAACATTTTTATGTAACAATAACATTAACACAGAATTTTTTAAACCATATTTAATAGATTTTTAAACAAAAGCATCAAATATAACATCCGATTACATAAATTGTTTAAACCTGGGCAGATACGTCAAGATCGGTTTCCATTTATTTAATCCAATATTTATTAAGAACAAAATATTAGCTGTTTTATAAATTTTCATAAATCCTTTGACAATATATATATATATATATATATATATATATGGCCATATTATGACAGGTTGTCTTCATGGTGTAATGATATAATGCTCATGTGATGGATTTTCTCTTGGCGGAACACGAACATTGAAGGAATTATGGGAGGGACGTGTTTACGTGTGTTTATTTATTTATTTTGGCCATCAAAGACATGTTTTATTTAATTTATGGATTATTCTGATGAAGGCTCTTTCCTCCCTCTTATGATTTTTCTTTATTGCTATATATCAAATCTCTTGTAAAAATCAAAAAAAAAAAAAGTGAAGCCTCTTCTGTAATTTTAATAATACAAATAGTAATAATAATGTGTATGTGGAGGCATACGCAGTTATTTATCCTTTTAACTGAACACGTGTTTCACGAACACATTAATGACAAGTCGGTACTTAGCTGTTCTTAAATGAATTTGATGTAAAAATGAATAAATAATAATCTTCCGATCCTTAATATAGGACTCAATTGTTAAGTTGATTTTGATCCTAAATATAAGATCCACTTTTTATATTTATCAATTTTCTCTAAACTATCCCTACGAATACTCTCTCAACTATAATCAAGTAAAGGAGGGAGAAGAGGTATTAAGAAAGATGATTATGGTGTTTTAGAAAAAACATGTCACATTTTTTATAATTAACTAACTTACCTAACTTTATTAATCTAATCAACATAGTTAAATAAGTCTTATATTAAGGATTGGAAGAGTAAATTTTTTTTAATTTAATTTGTGTACAACTAGTATTTAAATACTTCTCTGGTCCTATTTATACGGCAAAGAAAAGATATTTTTTTGTTGTTTTCGGATAATTAAATGATATAGTTAATGTGTTCATACTTGCTTTAGATTAACATATCCAAGATTGCGCCTTGGTCTTGTTTTGCCTTTGTGGGGAAAACTGTTTTATGATGAACTTTTCTATCTTTTAATCTCTGAAATCTAAATAAAGTATAAAACAAGTTAGCTCAAGCACGTGGAACAAGGAGTTTTTGGTCCGCATGAACTTCCAAGTCTATTTTGGAAATTAATTAAATTAATTTTGAAAATTAATCAAATTAATGGGATATTTGGATTATATTTTTAAAAATAATTTTGTAGAGTTCGAGATAAATATATGAGAAAAATTTTATTTTAATTTGTATGAAAGTACTGATTTTGGATTTATCAAACTCTCCCTAAATAGACAGCTTAGTGTTGTATTGGTCAGGCAGAGTCTTAATTAATATTTTTAAAAATACTCTTATTTACAATCCCCCCTCATTTTTTAATTGAACAATAATGTAACTAGCTTCACCAAAACCAAACTTGACTTTAGAAGATCCTAACATATTGTATATACGTTAGCAATGAAAAATTGATGAGGTGTAACATTGCTAATATTTTAAGTTTAGGCATGTTTATGAGAAACCCAGAAATACCTTATGAACATATTTTTGGAGAAGCAAACACCTGTACTGACTGCATGCAGCCCTAACAAAATAGAATAAATATTGATCAACTAGTTATATACTTACTTTATAGTTTATATATAAAGTCTAAGCATTCAAATCTTATCAAGTAATAAAGTACTAAACATAGTATCTGTTTCAAAAAAAAAAAAAGTAGGGTAAAGTGGTATCATGCACTCTAATATATATATATATATATATATATTCATTCAGCACCCTGATTTTATTTATAATGCATATAGCACTCTAAACTATAAATAAGATTATGATACAGGATATAACTAGAAAAATAACATTGGCATGCTAGATGCACAAGAAGAATAATATTAAAGTACTTGATGCACCATAAATAAGATAACGATACTAGATGCATCTGAAAACTAAAATTAGAATGTTGGATACTATTTTATTAAAAAAAAGTATTTAATACAGTATTGATCTTATAAGCTTTTGATGCTAGCAATGCAATATGATTGAGTATAAACATCAATATTTTACTTAATTCAAGGCTAATTAGAAGCAAGTCAATTATTTGAAGTGAAATAAAATAAAAACTAAACTAAATTATGGTTTGTGTTAACATTGATTTTGACAACTAGAGTGACAATTATGATTATTAATGTGCATTCTAATTAATAATCCTATTTTCCTTATGACAACTAGAGTGACAACTAAACTTAGCAGTTAGCATAGGTCTGCTTTCTCTTAGTTTTAATTAACGTTTATAGCATGCTAGCCTAAGGCTCTCAATCATATGATAACATCTATCAAACCGATAATAGGCATCCTATTTAATGGACCCTAATTTTTCTTAGATGATTAATTATTAAACTACTTATGTCTAATACAATTATGTGAGGCCAATAAATATATTTCTATTACATAAATAAATCAAGTTTTTCTATCTTCAAATACTAGTCAAAGGTTTATTCTAATCCCAAGTGAATATTAAACAAGTGGCCACAAATCCAAGCAAATCTAATATTATAGAGAACACACAGCTAATAACAATACCTGTGTTGTGAACACATAAAATCTACTCTTAATTTTTGGCCTTATTTATTTTTCTCTAAAACTCCTATGAACATCGTACATTCTCAAAAATTGACCAAGCATAAGAAATAAAATCAGAAGACATAATTTTTCGATGCCAAAAAATAAAATTTTTTTTCATCCTTAACCCTCAAATAGTCATTTCCCTGTAATTAACCATCTAATAATGTAAATACATGAAAAAGAATCCATAGCCAATTTTAAAAATTTAACATGAAACTCTCTGAATTCATCAATTGCACTTGCACAGGATCCTGTGGGCCCACTCCTTCTTTGTCTTCCAGGAGAATTTTTAACAGTTACTGCTCTGTACCTTTTACACACTTCACATTTATGATTCTAACACTTGTTCAAGACCTGTACCTTCCACTCACACAATAAATTCTCTTTTCTTTTTGTTTTTTCAAAACAAAATTCTGACCGAGTAACATGGACTATATTGCATTCCCCTTATAAATTGACTTTGAAGCATTACTTCTGTGCTGAACTTTTTCTTTTGTTTTGAGGAGTGAAGAAATGGAAGGCGTAATGAAGCAATGGAAGGAGGAGGAAGAGCCAGAGGTTGAAGAAGGGGGTTTAGTTAAACGCCAGGCTCACATGCACGTCACAAGCACCACCATTACTACTTCGAAGTTTGATGTACAAGGTACGTTACATTCAACATATTTAGCAGTTTCTTTGGCAAAAGCAAACATTCAAACACTTGATCTTCAATATTTAATGGTTGTGATTCTGAATATAAGCTTTAGTAAGTCTAGATTTGCCTCCTTAAGCTTTAAGTTTTTGTAGTTTCAGACTCCGTGCTTCTTCTGCTTGTTCTTGTTTTATGATCCTGCAGGAATAACAGATTTAGTAGTTGTTTCACGCAAGGAAAAAAGTCAATTAGTTTATCTCCAACATTTGGTTTGATATGATCTTTATTATGGTGATGATGAAGATCTGTGTGCTTCAGTTTTCCCACTTATCAAGGCTTCTCCTGCTTGTTCTTGTAGTTCTTCTAAGTATGCTTGACCCCAAAACTGTTACCTGAATATTGTTTTCATATTCAAGGATGAAATGAACACCTGAAGCATGCATCTTTGATGGATTTTTCTTACTAATAGACATCTTTCACATATTAAATCGAGAATTTGTGACGTTTATGAACCAAATAGTTGAGAAATTTTTCTCAAGGACACCAAAGCCACATTTCCTCTTTTTCTAATATATAGTTAACAAAGTTCATATAATGCATGGTTTCAGCTGCTGATCAAACAGAAGGATCTTCCGGACTGAAAAATGAAGGAGAAGAGTTCATTCAAAGGGAAGGGAATTCTGGTGAGATCGAGAAGAAGACAAATCTTCATCCTTTAGATCCTGTAATTTCTGTGGACTCTACTTTCTTTAGTAGTGTGAGAACTGAAAGTGAGAGAGTTGGCATAATAACAGAGAATTTGCGGCTAAGGAAGGAACTATATTTGGAAAGTCTATATCAGAAGACACCCACACAGGGATTCTATTGTCCCAATTGTAAGGTTTGTATCCAGAAGGTTTTACTTTTGGATACAGTCCAGCAAGAAATAAGTGCTCCTGAACAACGTCCTTCACCACCTGATCCAATCAGATGCTCATCATGCTTCAGCTTCCTCATTCCAATAGGTAAAATCTAGTTTCACTTTAAAAAATTCAGATACTTGCACACACATATATATAGCACCTTTTCATTTTTAACAGGATTACATCTGTGCACATAAATAAGAAGGTAAGCCTCGAAGCAATAGTAAGGTTGCTGCCATGTGACCTGGAGGTCACAAATTCAGATTCTGAAAACGGTCTCTCCGCTTGTGGAGATACGGCTGTGCACATTTATCCCTCATCATACACCACTTCTGCATTGGGCTGCCCTTTTTAACATCTGCTGCCCCATTAGGCTATCAAGGAACTGATTATTTGCAGCCAAGATTGAATACAGTCAGCTGCTCATCACTCTATTCAATATAACTTGAAGTTACAATTCTTCTGCATTTTTCAACAGGTAGTTGGCTCTTCCCACGGTGGGTACAAGACGAAGTATCACCTATTCAAGGTGAAGTATTTCCTGAATCTATTTAACTCATTGGGCAATTTACATGCACTTATTTGATTTCTTGAATGAGCTCAACATCTGAACAGTGTTGATGGGGTGTCCATGGATTTTAGAATGTTAGCATCAGGCAACACAACCATTTATACATGTTACAAACATGGAACATAATTTGATTACTGGAACTGAAGTTTAATAATTGATAGCAAGATATTTACCAAGTTCCCACCAATGCTATCTTCACCAAAGGATCAGAGTGAACTCTCATTTGGATTTGGATTGTGAAGGACGAGTCATGTCCCATCGCTTATTTTGCTCTGCAGCCTTAAATATTAAATAAATTGGTCCAGTGATGAGGTCACCCATCCTTCAATTCATTAATTCTGGCATATCATTTGAGTTGAGATTAAAGGATGGTCTCCTTCTGTATGATGATCTTTTAACAGTATCTACTGCTTATTGCATCTCACAAATGCTTATCCTCTACCTTTGCCATTGAAATCAATGTAGGTGTGCAACAGCCAACAGGTCACTCAAAGGGAAACGGAAAACTGAGTGATCAAAGAGCTGAAGTTACAGAAAAAATTCCAGTTCAGGCCCCTCAGACACGACAAATTACAGGTCAAGCCCTGGATGAAGTTAATACTGCAGCTGATTCAGGAAAAATAATCTCGCAGCCTGAACAAGTCAAGCATGATGGAGCAGATCAAGCATCTAATGAAGACGATCATAAAACCAGCGGTGAGGGCAGTCTTTTTTCTTATATACTTGTTTTTGGTTAAATGCAGATAGCTAGTAGCAGAATTTAATGCGAAGACATCATTAAGTACTATATAATGAATGTGCATGCAATGAACAGAATTCAATCTTCACATGTGGGTGGGACCTACATGTTAGATATTGAAGACTAATTCATGGGCATTTGATTTTCGCGAACTATTTTACTTAAGAATTTTTTTCTTCAACATGAGAGTATGCAAGAATAATAAAACCTAGGAAATCATCCTCTATACGTAGGGGAACTAATAAAGTCTTTATTGTTTTTCAAGTACTTGTCTCGTTGCTAGTTATTTCTTTCTACTCTATTGTTCCCAAAATTACATCCTATTCCAAAATAGTCACAAATCTTGCATCAACCATGGACTATTTTTCATATGATCCCTATCTTAGTAATCCTGAATATAATATCAAATTGCCAGATTCGCCAAATCTCCCCAGTGAAATCCCACGAGATGAGCGTGGACAGGATGGATCAAAAAGCAAAAATTCACGCTGGGGACTTTTATTTGGTGCTTCATCCTTTTCCACGAAGAAAAAAGATAAAATTGTTATTCCAGAAAAATCAGAACAGCCACCGCAGCTTGAAGAGGTTAAAGTTGATGAAGGAAGCACAGGTTTGTAGAATAAATAACATCTTTTCATGCAAGTAAAATATGAATATATCATCTGGCACTATGGTTTTGCAAGAATCCTCACCAGCTGATGAATTTATCTTATGGGTTAATATTATGATATGGATTCCTATACAGAATAGATAATTGAATGCAAGTTAAATTCTTGCTGGCTATGATATGTTGGAGGCATAATATGGTATATTATGTATTTTAAGCGAGGAAATACTGTATTTTGATCACGTATTACAGATTGCATAGATTCTGATAAGGTTAAAAATTGAAGTAATCCAAAAACGTTTCTACAGCCAAGATACAGATTATGATAAGGTTAAAAGAGATAGCAAAGATCTCTAAATTAGAAAACAAGGTAGCAATGAGCATAATAAAAAGATAAACTTTTCACCGGGGAAAAAAAAACAGAGAGAGAATAAACTGAACATATTAAAAGCACATTTTCCTTCGAACAATTGTCATACTGTGAGAGTGTGAGGACATTTAAAAAAAAAAAAAAATTCTTCACACCTTGCACATATAGGATCCATCATGTTAACTTTAGCTCAAAGAAGAATAAGGAGGGGAAGAATAAAATTTCAAAATATAAATAAAAGTGGTTCATATTAGTTGCTTAAAGTGCAATAAAGGATTTATTCTTATTAGAAGTGGATTTTGCTGTGTGGCATCTGTCAATTTTTTTTACTCTTTTCACAATTCAATCCTGAAATCAAATCATATTATTATGAATATTTTACAAATTAGGAATTATGCAATCTATTATCTTGCAATGAAATGATGCGGTGTATTCATTGAACAGAACTTCCGGAATCAGGAAGTAGAGAAACATGGGAAATTTTGAAAAGCATTGTGTATGGTGGTCTGGTTGAATCTATAGCAAGCCTTGGCATTGTGACATCTTCAGCAAGTTCAGATGCTACCACACGTAAGAATTAATCACTCCTAAACTCCATTTCTTTGCTCTCCTTTTGCTTCTAAAATCAGTATTCAACAAGACTACTGAATCACTGTTCTGTTTAAAATACTCAGTAGGGAGAATGACATTTGAGTCTCTTGTGGCGGAATGATTAACTTTTGGGTCCGCACTTGGGAAGGGAAAAAGTTGTTCATACCGTATATCATAGCTTTCAATCTCAAAAAGATCATGGTTTCAAGGAAGCAAAGTGTCAACAATTTCCTTACAAAGGATGCAAATGTCATTCTCCCAATTCAATATCCCTAGAAGGCTAAAATATCATTAAACAAAGGTTGGCTCAATTGGTGGAATTCAGCTGCAACCACCAAAGGGTCTTCACTTTGATTTCTACCCTGCCTTGAGGTTTGAACGACTTATAAACCAACCAACTTTTTAAAACAAGAGATAAATTTTATATGATTAAAATACAAATTTGACCTACAAATGACATTTCACAATTCAGATGGCGTAATTAACATTTCCTAATTGTTTTACGTATTTGTATTTCAAAGTGGAAGGTTATTAGTTGAATTTGCCTATTACTTCGACAAAAAAACTTAATGCTGGTTAATTCATGGGCCTAATGGTATTCTTGTACTCACCGATTTGAATTTGCAGTGAACATTCTAGTTCTGTCTCTTGCAAACCTGATTGGTGGACTGTTCATCCTTGTTCATAATGTGAGTTTCTTCCAACATTTATTCAGTTTCTTTAGCAACATAATACATTTAGATTGGACCTATATGGCTATTTGTTCGAATTGGAAATATATATCAAACTCTCAAGAGACCCAGGTGTAACTTTAGAAATGAGAGAGGTATTGAGTGCTTAACTAGAACTCAGGAAATTAACATAATTATATACTCGATTCGGTCCTAGATATAGAATCAGGTAACTAATATGTAGAGATCAAGAAAAAAATTAGTTAAGTTAATTATTTTTTTAAAAAAAAATCTACTGGTTGTCCTAAAGTATCCCTTTTAATCATTTGTATTGGGAACTACGCTGTTGATAATAAATCCCTTTAGTATGTACAATTAATAAGAAGAGTTTAGGGGAAAAGATTATGAATTTCAGATAAAAAATAGATTGAGATCATATATTTATGATCAAAATAAACTCATCTACTAGCTTTTACATTTAGGACTAGAGGGAGGATATAATATATGTTTGTTAAAGTTGAAACTTACTCTTGCATTGACAGATCTGGGACCTGAAAACTGAGCAACCAAGAACAAACAATGAAACAAATGCACGTGTGGATCGATATTATCAGGTCTTGGGGAAGAGAGAACATTTCTATCTTCATGTGTTCATAGCCATAATATCATTCATCATATTTGGGTTGGTGCCACCTGTGGCATATGCCTTCACATTCACTGAGAGCAATAATAACGATCTGAAGCTAGCAGCAGTTGCAGGGGCTTCTGCAATTTGCATCATTCTTCTTTCAATTGCAAAAGCATACATCCAGAGGCCAAATACATATCTCACATATCTCAAAACAGTGCTTCATTATCTCAGCACTGGGGCTATGACTTCAGCAGTTTCTTACTTAGCTGGTGAACTAGTTAAGGAACTCATAGAAAAGCTTGGATGGTTTGACACCAAAAGCTCAAGTTTTACTCTGCTTCTTCCTGAGATGAGTGTAGAGAAACCCAGATTTGGATCCTACTGATAAGGATCAAAACTAAGTGCTCAAAATGCATTTTAGAGAGTACTATGCCAATTCTTCTGGATTTTAAGTATCATTGCTTCATGGTCTGAGAGGAGATGTTTATTGTTTTGTCTGTTCTGTCACAAAGTGTTCATTATGTGGGATTTGAATAAAGCCCTACGGGCTAAAATTTGTCTTTATATAGCTTTGACGAGGAGCCAGATTAGTTGATGTCATTGTTACTATTGATTATTGAATATTGAATTACATTTAATCCTTCAGAATTTTTTTCGATTTTTTCTTTATTATAGGTTCCTTTCTTGTCCTGCATCAAATTGGAATCTGAGTCCAAAATCAGGCTACAAGGTTAATACTATCTCAGGTCCTTAATATAAGATCTTATTTGATTTTTATTTTGGTCCTAAATATGAGACTCCAATCCATTTTGTCTCTCATATTTATATATTTTTTTCAAGATAGTCTTTCTAACAATAATAGTTCTAGCCAGTACATTTGATTAGTAAGGATATTTTAGGAATGATAACAACTATTTATTACAAATAATTAACTTAACTTCTTTCTTTTATTTTCTCAAATTAGTCAACTAGCTCTTATAAATAGGATCGGAGGTAGTATTAGATTACTTCTCCCATGCAAATTGTCACGGACTTGGTCGTAATTCCAACGAACCGTGCGGCCTAGCAAACTTCTTGCCTTAAGTTGCTAGTCAGCCTACTCACGAAGGAACACAAAGGAACAAGAGACTCAAAGAAAGAACTTTGTATTGATCTCTCGAAGTACTTACAACACTTTCACTTTCTTGAGTGTGTCAAATGAATGAGGGGGAGGGGGTATTTATAGTTCTCCACCTCCTCAATGGACGGCTAAGATCTACCTGATCCAACGGTTACAATCTCGTATCTAGAATACTCTACAAAAATATCTAGATATTTACAAAGGGGTTAGGTGTCTCTACAATTATCTATAGTATTCTGGAACCTTCCACGCTTCCCCAACAAGTTCCACACATTTCTAGAGAGTTCCAGACTTACCCAAGACTTTTGTGGACACCTTTGGACAGTTCTGGGCAGCGAGCCTTTGTGTATTTTGGGCAAAACAGGAGCGGTGCGTTACATTCTCCCCCACTTAATGTGGCGACGTCCTCGGCGCATCCCTCTTGTATGCCTCAATCTTCTCCTGATAGTCCCATAAAGCTAGCTCGTGTTCCCAGCTTGCTTCACTATCGGGAGATCCTTTCCATTTAACAAAGTATTCAATGTAGCTCGGATGACTCCCACGTCTCGGTATTACTCGGTGCGCGAGGATTTCCTCAACTTCCCGTTCTGGCACCGTAGTAATTGCTGTAGGGGCTCTTCTAGACTCACCTCTACTTGGTTCATCCTTGTCTTCATTGTATGGCTTCAGTAGACTTACGTGAAAAACAGGATGCATCTCCAAGTGTGAAGGTAGAGTCAAGCGATAGGCTAGCTTACCGATACGTTTCTCTATAGGAAACGGTCCTTCATAACGCCTCACTAGCCCTTTATGAACTTTGGCGAACCTTCGGCTTTGATGAGGAAGGAGCTTCACCATGACTAAGTCACCTTCCTCAAACTCTAAGTGCCTCCTCTTAGCGTCGGCCCACTTCTTCATCTTTTTCGCGGCCTTAGCTAAGTACGCCCTTGCCAAGTCTGATTTTTCATGCCACCCCTTGGCAAACTTGAAAGCTGAAGGACTCGGGCCTTTATAGCCAACAGCTAAAGTGTGCGGAGTCATCGGTTGTTGCCCCGTGGCTAACTCGAACGGACTTGACCCAGTTGATTCACTTTTCTGCAAGTTGTATGAAAATTGGGCAATGTCCAAGAGCTTAACCCAGTCCTTCTGGTTGGCACTTACGTAGTGCCTCAAGTATAGTTCGAGTAAAGCATTCACCCTCTCCGTTTGGCCATCGGTCTGTGGGTGAAAGCTTGTGGAAAAGTTAAGTTCGGACCCCATAATTTTGAAGAGCTCCATCCAAAATCTTCCTGTGAAGTGAGTGTCCCGATCGCTCACAATAGTCTTTGGTATGCCCCAATACTTTACCACGAACTTGAAGAATAACTTCGAAGCATCTTCTGCAGTGAATTTGGTTTGGACTGGTATGAACACTCCATACTTGCTAAACCGGTCCACCACCACCATAATGTTGCTGCATCCTTCTGTCTTCGGCAAACAAGTGATGAAGTCCATGGAAATACTTTCCCATGGTCTCTCGGGAATCGGAAGTGGCTCTAGTAAGCCAGAAACGGGGCGCTGTTCCACCTTGTCTTGCTGACACACAAGACAAGTCTTCACGTAGAGCTCTACATCATCTCGCATCTGGGGCCAAAAGTATGCTCGCTCAATGAGTGCCATCGTGCGTCGAACTCCAGGATGTCCAGCCCACCTCGAGTCATGGCACTCCTTAATGATCTCCTTCCTTAAACCTTGCCATTTCGGCACGTACACTCTGTTTCCTTTGGTTATGAGCACCCCATCCTCAAGCCAAAACCGGCGTGTCTTCCCTTGACTTGCCAATTCCATCAAACTTTTGGCTTGTGGGTCTTGCTTTAGTCCCTCCTTGACTCGATCAACCAAAGGGAAACTCGGGCTAGTGATGGAGGCAAGCTCGGCCTTTCTACTCAATGCGTCGGCCACGACGTTCCCTTTTCCTGGCTTATACTCCATCACAAAGTCGAATTCTGCTAAGAAGGCTTGCCACCTTACCTGCTTTGGTGTAAGCTTCTTCTGCTTAAGGAAGTAACTTGTGGCGACATTATCAGTTTTCACAATGAACTTGGTACCCAGCAAATAATGTCTCCACGTTCTCAGGCAATGCACCACGGCCGTCATCTCCTTCTCTTGGACTATGTAACGCCGTTCTGCATCATTAAGCTTACGACTCTCGTAAGCCACCGGATGACCTTCTTGCATTAGGACTCCTCCTAAGGCAAAGTCCGAAGCATCCGTTTGTACCTCGTATGGTTTGGTGTGGTCAGGCAAGGCCAACACCGGTTCCTTGATCACGGCTGCTTTCAGCTCCTCAAAAGCGGCTTGACACTTATCATCCCAATCCCATACTCGGTTTTTCTTTAAAAGATCAGTGAGGGGAGCGGCTATCGCAGAGTAGCCTTTGATGAATTTCCGATAATAGTTGGCCAATCCAAGGAAAGAACGAAGTTCGGGTACCTTCCTTGGCGGCTCCCATTCCTGTATAGCACGCACCTTGGACTCATCCATCCGTAGTTTGCCCCCTCCAACAATGTGCCCTAGGAAAGTTACTTCCTGTTGAGCAAAGGCACATTTCTCCTTCTTAACATACAACTCGTTCTCCCTGAGGACTTGGAAGACTTGCCTAAGATGCTTCACGTGCTCCTCCAACGTCTTGCTATAAATGACAATGTCATCCAAGTATACCACCACGAACTTGTCCAAGAACGGTTGTAGGACTCGATTCATGAGGGTGCAAAATGTTGCTGGTGCATTTGTGAGTCCGAAAGGCATTACAAGAAATTCATACGAACCATACCTCGTGACACATGTTGTCTTTGGTTCGTCTCCCTCGGCTATCCGTACTTGATAATATCCCGACCTTAGATCCAACTTGGTAAACCAACGAGCTTGGCCAAGTTGATCAAAGAGATCGGCAATAAGTGGGATTGGGTACTTGTTCTTCACCGTGATCTTGTTAAGCGCCCGGTAGTCGATGCATAACCGAAGTGACCCATCATGCTTCTTCTGGAACAATACCGGGGCTCCATAAGGTGCTTTTGATGGACGGATATATCCCATGTCCACCAACTCCTTCAATTGCCTCCTAAGTTCCTCAAGCTCTGGAGGCGCCATACGGTAAGGCACTGCCGCAGGTGGTGTGGCACCAGGCACCAACTCTATCTTGTGGTCCACCTCTCTCTTTGGTGGCAACCTCTTGGGCAACTCGGGCGGCATCATGTCCTTGAATTCTTCTAGGACATGCTCAATACACCTCGGGAGGTTTTTAGTTGGCGAGGCTACTGCTTCTTCTTCCAAAGCAACTAGATATGTGGGCTGCTTCTTCTTTATGCCTTTGGAGAGTTGCATGGCCGAAATCTGCTTCTCTCGGAGTTGGGTTTCCCGTTCTAGAGGTACTAGTCGGGTGTTACCTTCTTCCAAGATGCACATCGTGTTGGCAAAGGGGATTGGCACGGCCTTAACCTTGTCCATGAATTCCATACCCAAAACAATTGGATAGTCATCCATGGTGACAATGGAGAAGTCTACGAGGCCGTTCCAATCGCCCAGGCTTACCTTGACATCGCGAGCAACTCCAAAGGTAGCCCTCGGTTCTGAATTGACTGCCTTAAGCCAACCACGTTCTCCTTGGTAGTGAACGCCCAACTTTTTAGCCTCTTCCACTCTAAGGAAGTTGTTGGAAGCTCCCGTGTCCACAAGTGCTTTGACGGTGTGTCCTCCAATCTCGGTTTCCACAAATAACCGTCCCTTCCTTCCGGACTTGGGCATCTCCACCTTTGCCTTAATTGCATTGAGGAGTTGTAGGGATCCTACTTTCTCCTCTTCTCGTTCCCGTTCCTCCCTTTCCTCGATCAATGCTGAAAGTTTAGCCTTCTTTGGGCAATCCCTTGCTTTATGTGGTCCTTCACAAAAGAAGCATTTAAGTGATGGCCTTTCTCCAGCTTTGTACTCCTTAGGACCCTTCGACTTGTCCGTGGTCTCCTTGCCTCGGTGATGCTCTCCCCCACTCTTTCCCTTGCCGCCCTTGTCTTTCGGCTTTGGCTTCTCGGGTTTCTTGAACTCAATAAGGGACTCGGCAATGGAGATAGCGGTGGTCAAGTCTTGAGCACCACGTCTCTGGATCTCAAGTTTAGCCCACTGTTGCAATCCATCCATAAAGGCAAAGAAAGCTTCTTTATCAGGATAGTCAGGGATCTCAAGCAATACCTCGGTGAATTCCTTTACATACTCTCGAATGCTTCCCTTGTGTTGAAGACGCCTTAGCCTACCCC